TTAGTAGTAAAAGCTTTCAAAATCAATCCTCTCGTCTCTTCGCACATTTCTTCCGAAATTTATCTCGGTTGATTTGAAAGTGTGGGTTTTTTTTGTTTTTTGTTCCTACCCAAATCTTATCAGGACTATGGTTTCTCAATTGGTGAAACACGAGCGAATTGAAACCACTGTCACAAAGGTACTAATTCCTGTTTTTCCCCATCAATTTGTTTTTGTTGATCTGGGGTTTAACTAGGGTTTATAGTTATCGGACAAGAATACGTGGTCTTAATTATTTAGAACTTGCAGTGTTTTGTCCTAAAAATGTTTCTCATTTCTTGCATTGAGTTGTAATATACAGAATTTTGGATTTTGCAGGCTAAAGAGGTTCGTCGTCTTGCTGATAATATGATTCAACTCGGCAAAGAGGTATCGATTCAATAAGTTTTTTTTTCGTTTTATAAATTTAGCAATACAAATCAATGGTTCTTGTTCTCAAGTGTTTTTAGATGCTGACTCTGTTGACTCTTTTTATAATTAGACATTGTGCTCAAGTGTTCACAAATCCTTGTTTTGACCTCACGAATTGTGTTTGATTCTTCAGGAAAAGTAATTTAGATGATTTTTTGGCTGAAATAATAGCTAGAGTAAGTTCTTTTTTTTCTTCATTCTATCGCTTTTATATCGGTGATGAAATGGTTTTATTACAGGGCTCACTCTCTGCAGCAAGGCGAGCTGCTGGGTTTGTTAGAGGAGATGATGTACTTCACAAGATTTTCACAGAGTTGGCTTATCGATACAAGTGAATCTTCGAACCTTGTTTTTCTTTTTATCTTGTATCTCCCTTTAGTACTCTGCTTCATCAGCTAGATTTTCTTTGTTAACAGAGATAGAACTGGTGGATACACAAGAATGCTTCGCACTCGGATACGTGTTGGTGATGCTGCACCAATGGCCTATATCGAGTAAGCAAATCTCTTTTCTTTATTTTGCATTCTCCCCACACCCTTCCCACAGAAATCACATTGAATTTTTGAGTTTTCTTTACCCGCAATTACTAAAAAGGAACTTTTGAATTCGCATATGTATATCGGCCAACTGTCGTGTTAGTGTTTGCGTAGCTGGAGATACCGGTACTGGATTCTAGCTTGTTAACGGTCAAACTGTTTCTTGTGCAGGTTTATTGATAGAGAGAACGAGCTAAGGCAATCAAAACCAGCAGCACCTCAACCACCACCTCGAGTGCCGCTTGATCCATGGGCGAGATCCCGTCTCACCAGGCAGTACGCACCACCAAAGGAAGAGAAAAATTCTGATTCCGACCTATAAATAGAGAAGCTCTCTGTTGCTATCTCACACCAAAAGATCATGTTTTATTTTTTCCTTCAACCCATTAGCTTTGTGTGTCACCTTGTTCATTCACTTATCAATCACAATATTATGTTTGACAAAAGGTAAGAATAACGAAGTAACTTACTTTTTACCCTTTGAATTGAAACCGTATAAATTTTTAAGTTTTTCATCTACTTGCATCTTCAAGATAAAGGTTACGACACTTCAACCACTCGAAAAATATGATAAGATTATTAAAGTTTATAAAGTTTCGTACTGTTTGGTAAGATATGATATTATTGGGTTTCTTTAATCACATCAGTCGAAACTTGTAACTTTTTTTGATTGATCATCTTCAACAATATCTAAGAAACCCCATGAAGAGATAAAGATACCATACTAATAATATTTAACACTACAATAAACTTACAATGACTTTTCAAAACTCTAAACCCAAAGTTTTCCTTTACACAAAAATCAAGCAGTCGTCGTCGAAGCCCACTCATCAGCCTGAATAAAATTGGCAACAGAGTAAACATCAACATGTTTCTCCGGTATCTCACGGCTCCATGGAACCCTTTTCGATCTATCCGATCCCGGACCTGTATTCTTATATTCACCGTAATACAAAGTCTTCAACGCGAATTCCCCGTCCCACGGCATCCATCCATCAGGACTAATCAAAGATTCAAGATTACAGTTTACGAAAACCGTCCTCGAAAACTCCTTCCATGGTCTTCCCAAATAGTTCGTATGCCCTTTAGGGTTAGCTTGAAACTCCTTCATGTATTCCTCTGTTCCGTTAATCGAACAGTTCCAGAACACGAATCCTGTGGATTGCGCCGCATCGATCCTCCCGTGCGCTGTGATCGCGTTGTTTGCTCCGCCACCTTGCTCGATTTTGGAATTTTTTGAAGCGATTAGAATATCGCAATCTTGGAATACGGCAGCTGAGTTACCGAATATGAAGTCTACATTGCCTTGGATTCGACACTGTTTGTAGAACTGACGAAGAGAGTGAGCGTAAACAGTATCTTGATTCCCAAGAAACTCGCAGTTTTCAAGTATCGAGAAATCGCTGTCTGATCTAAACGCAACCGCTTGGTGCGCGTCTGCTCCCGCCGTGTTCTCTATGGTTAAATCACGAGCCATGAATCCATCACCAAGTACTCCTATACATCAAAACCAAAAAACATTCAATAATTGAGACACAAAATCTCTTGGAGACTTGTCCAAATCTTACAAGACAAAACATTTTTCGTTATATAAAGTAAAAAC